TATAGAATTCAACCTGATCATATCATATCATATTGATTTTCTCTTTATCTTATCTATTGTTAGGTGCAGTTTTAAGGTTGATAAATAGAAAAATGTCGCCGGGTAGCATATCTACAGAAAAAGTTGATTGCAGTTTTGGTATCAGTAGTGATACCATTTTTTTCCACTAACTGTTAAGCAGAAGATTTTAACAATAAATTCTTTCGTCTCCCTTTTCCAGAAGATTCGTAAAAACGTTTTAAATCTCCCTATGACACTCTCACTTCTTTAACACAGTCTATAGTTTTTAACGTGATTAACTATCACGCTGGATTAACATCACGGTGCTCTTATTACACGTATCAATATTCTAAGGAACCATAGTACCGAGATAGTTTAGTTATTATAGTAAGGAATAGTACTGGCAGTATAATTCTGCCGGCAAGATTCTGCCATCTAATACTTTTGTTGTTATTTGAAGTACAGCAAACGTTTGGAAAATGCAACTCCACAACGAATGAAACTTATCAATACTGTCATTCTATCCGCGTAGCTTTGGTACAACCACCTCAACACTCTCATTAAAGGGAGCAACCTCAATTGGTCAAGACAGCCGAAGCTGTATGCCCTGCGCTCTATGGTACCAGTCGGGTGTTGCAAGTGAAGCTCACCAATTACACTCCAAAGTGTATCGAGTAACATCTACTGGAATTTAGTCGCCTCTTATGACAGATATTCTAGCCTCTTTCCCGCGGAAGCAGTAGGCATTATAAAAAATTATGATGTAGGTATACTTTAAAACAGTGCATATCCAAAAATATGATTGAGAGAGAATTAATGTTTCAAGAAGATTTCACATTGTCAACATAATATACGCCAACCACTGGTCTCATTTGTCACTAGATGCTAACTTATTTAACTTCTCTATGGAGTGTATCCTGCAAGTCAAAGTCAGCACTAAAAATTACCAGAGCAAAAGTGTTTATAATATTTTTTTTTGTTAATTCAATAAAACTAATTTTAACAATCACCATTTATAAGAAGTATTCATCAATTTTATCGCAAAGCAAACACTTTAAATACAGTTTAGACTTTAATTTCAGATTTAGCTTTATTATTGCTAATTC